CAGAAAAAAGGCATCCTGGACGGGGGTACATCTCGGTACCGAGGATAGGTACATCTCGAGCCGAGGAGAGCTGTACATGACGACCGAAGTATCATATCAGACCGAGGGATATGTGTTGGTTCGTAAAACGTATTTGACCATGTGTTAAGTACCTCGGGGGCGAGGGAGTTGTAAGCCGATAGTACGTGATCTCAGTAACAGGATTTTTAGTGACGCTCAGAACACGTGTCTTCATCTTGGAGTATTTCAGAAAAGTCTCATCAATGCTTTTGTTAAAAAACGGAATTCGTGACCCGTTTTTAAATAAAAAAAGTGGTCAAAAAAATGAGCTGAAACACGGTAAAAGCGTGGTTAATAACCACGCGTTTAACGTGTTTCTACTCGGATTCCTTCTACTGCTCTATTTCGCCCTCGTGAAGCTTGATTATTCATTTGCCTCTGCAACCACACTCTAGCTTGGTTCTGTCCTCATCTTCTATGCTATGATACAACTATAAAATCATTTTCGTTGCAACCCATATAGTCGTTGTATAGGTTTCTTTTGTTTGGCTGTTTTTGTTTGGTTCAGCAAGCTGTTTTTTCTAAAAAGGGTCTTTGGATTTCTTTGGATTTTGATCAGAAATACTTGAATGTTACACTTTCTTCCTGAAATTAATCGTTGGTTGTGCTTTGGATTGCTTGAATTTGAAGAATATGAAAATGGGTTATCTTCATAAATAGAAAAACCATATGGGTTCTCAGTCTCGAGGTTCAAGGTCTTTCTTGGTGAGTAATAAATTTCCACCGAAGTCTCTGAATCCCCATTAATGTTCAAGTCATAAACTGTGAGAAACCTTTGCAAACCCAAGTTGTTTTTCATCAGAAACTGCTGTTGTTGAGGCAAAAATCAGATAAAATTTGATCTTGCCTGTTATGGGTTTAAGGGCTTCTTGATTGCTCTTTTTAGGGGGCTTGGAGGCAAAAATTGAGTACTTTCATTGAGGGCAACCCAATAATGGCCCTTTCAAGCTTGTTCACCACTTTGCTAATTGGGCTGAGGAAGTCATCACCATAGATCTCACCGGAAAAAGAATGCGAGGAAGACGTTAAAAAGCGTGTTTATTACAAAAAAAAAAAAAAAAAAAAAAACCGTAAAAAGCGTGTTTACAAAACACGCCTTTCTCATTGTCCAAAATTTTTTTCCCATAAAAGTGGGGTTGTTAAATCCGTTTTTTAACAAAAACGAAATTGTTGAATCCGTTTTTTAACAAAAACGGAGTTATTGAATCCGCTTTTAAAAAATGTCGTAATTTGGTAAATAAGTTCAAAAATATCATATTTTAGTATTAAAATTCCAGAACAACTGTGTTTTGATGATAAATTTTTTTTCGTTATGTCTCTCTCTCTAGTTCTGACCACATCTTTATTTTCAATTAGAGATGTGCATATTTGGGAAATAGGGCAATTAGACATATTCAATTGGGATGATCAAAGATTGAAATGTTGATCTGAAAATTTTGGTCAGCCATTCAATTAGAGATTGTAATGTTGATCTGAATTTTTTGTGGATTCAGCAGAATCAATTCTTTTAGTGGTCAAGGCTAAGTGACAAAATTGCATACATAAGATTAGTGGGGAATGTACAAAAGATTAGTGAGTAAAAGCACATTCCGAGGTGAAGAAGGAAAGTTTGGAAGGATTGTGGCCTACTTGGCGAAGGAATTACTAAGGCTTTATTGGGTAAAGACTTAGAAGTACGTACATATCATAAAAATAATAAAATAAAAAAAAATTATACTTATATTATTTTGATTGATGGAAATAATCAAAATAAGACCCCATCTTATATACCTAGTGTGTTACTTTTTTTGAGCTGGATGTGAGGATTTGGAGTAATATAATATCAGAACAAGTACTAACTTCCAAGTTCAACAAAAATTAGAACTGGTAATAGTTTGTATTATTCGTGTAGAAGTTTCACGTATTAGAATTTATTTAACTCTATCATATCAACCCTCTAATAGTTGTATATAATTTGTTTCATGTAATGCATACATCGTGTTTAATAAAGTTCATGTTATGTGTAACCTAATTCATATCAATCCATTTGTTAAAGGATTCTAACAAGACTACTTATTTACCACTTGAATTCACTAAATTAAGTGTAAACTTGCTAACTCTATATTGATTATATGTGCTTGTGAGTCTGTGTTTAGAATTGTTATCCAAACTAAATCACTTGTCATATTGTTATCCAAATATTGATGACCAAAATATTGTCCACGTCTCTCTCCCTTCCCCTTATCTTATCTCTATCTCTCTGTATCTATTTTTTTTCTCTCTTGGTAGTTCAAGTCTTTCTATGTCTCTGTCTCTCTCTTTCTCTCTGGGTAGTTCAAGTTTCTCTCTCTCACCTTCTCTCTCTCTCTCTCAGTCGGGATAGTAAAGTCCTTACTCTTTGTATCTCTCTCTAGGTAGTTCAAGTCTCTGTCTACACTTATCTCTCTGTCTCTCTTTGCGTCTCTCCCTCTTTGGTTAGTTCAAGTTTTCTCTCTCTCACCGTATCTCACTCACTTTATCTCTCTCTCTGGTTAGTTAACGTCTCTCTTGCATCGTATCTCTCTCTTTGTCTCTCCCACCCTTTTTCTCTCTGTCTCACTCTCTTTCTAGATAGAATTCTCACCTGATACAATGGAATTTATGCGAGCCAACTAGATCAAATCAAACAGGTGTAATGTTACACCATTTCACATGCAACAAGAACTTGTTGAGGTGGTCACAACGAAGGGTAATACACATGTCATGTGTATTAATGATTGTAGATGTACTTGTAGAAAATTTACAATTTGTAAAATGTCTTATTCTCATGTAATGGTCATTTGCTTGCATTTCCATGTTAGGTCTTGACATTCATTTGAGTCAACTTTGGCACCTGAACTTTATCATTTGCACCACCAAAACTATTGGGATGATACCAATGGTCATATTTTATGCCCTAATGGGTCGTTCCGTCGAGGACGTAAAAGACATCCAACAATACTGCACATACACAATAAAATAGATTTTTTAAGAAAATGGTGCAAATTAACCACTGTGGGATTTGCCAGTAGCTAGAACACGATCGCCGAACATGTCCAACAAAGAAACAATCAATTTCAGCAATGTATCATCCACTTTAAATATGTTGTGTCTATGTTTACGTTTAACTTTCACTTATGGATTTATGAAATGTATGAGTTATTTTGAAAATTTGTATTTTATGTTGTTATTTATGTATTAACGATGTATTTTGTGGTGTATAGGTTGTATTAACAACGAACCAATTAACCTCTTATGTGGTTTTAAACGTCATCCATATTATTGACAGACTGTATTTTTTACAATGTCATGTAATAACTTTGTTTTATTTAATGTATAAGTATCATTTTTTATGTGCATGGTTTGTACACTTCTGTGGGGTCAAATCTCATTGTTTGATGAACTTATGACATTATTTTGGTTTAAACAATTTTTAAACATATCAAGTATCCCAAAACCAATCACAAAATTCATTTATACATAAACTGTATTTTATGCATTTTTCTTAGTGTAAATGAATTAACTTTTTTTTAATTCATAACTTGCATTTTTTGATATCTCCATGGTGTTATAAATTTTTGAGCGAAACATGATAAATAATTTATTTTTTAGTTAAAACAAAAATTTAACTTAATTAAATATCAACATGATCAACAAATAAATGTCACATCAATAGACCCAGATTCAAATTTCTTTTTCCTCTTTTGAAAAGTATATGTCATTTTCTTACTTTATGGAGATAAAATAATTTTCTTTTCCTAATTTTATGACAAGGAATACCAACAAACACTTATGGTATCCAAAAAAAAAAATTGATAAAACATTATAACTTAACCTTTTACGAATTAAAATTTTTATAATCAATCCTAATTTTTTTGAATTAATTATGTATTTAAAAAATTATAAATTTTTATATGGTATTAAAGACAATACCAAGTCCTCTCCGTAATTTCATTTGAAAATTGGAACCAAGAATACTTTTATAATTTTTTTTGACAATAAAGTTAAACACAAATCTTTTATGTTATTAAGGACAACTATTTCAAACAATTAAATTATTAAGTCCAAACTAATTATAATTTTTTTTAATGGCACAACTACCCCTTCGTGCTTGTCTTCTTTGCTAATGGAGATTTCGTACGTGAGCTACGATCACAGAGCTTTGATCGTCGACGGAAAGCGAAAAATGCTCATCTCCGCCGGAATCCACTAACCTCGTGCCTCCGAATTTCAGGTTTCATCTTTACTAACACTTTATATCAGATTAAAAGGGTTAATTAAAATATAATTTTATTAAATTATTCATGATATATTTTAAAAAAAAATTCATCCACGTCTCTCTAAATAGGCATATTTTTAATGAGATTTCTTGTATTTTCTAAGTTTTTTCAAGTATTAAAATTCAGGCCGATAAAAATTTGATTTAAATTTAAATGTATTAAATTTGAGTTGATTAAAAATCATAGTTTTTTTCCGTATTAAAATTTAATTGACCCAAATTTGAATACATAAAAAAATTATTATGTCACGTAAGATTACTAATTAACTAGAAATTAACAAATAAATTTGATTAATGCTATGTAAAACAAAGTGAGAGTTATTAAGTATGAAATTATTGATACTTATTAAAAAATTAGGGGTTTTTAAACCGGTAAATAATGAGATTTATTAGCAAATAGAATATATCGAAAACAATGTGGTATTACGGGAATTAAGATCTCTTCTAATATATATTTTTTAAAAAAATTAATGTATCATTGATTATTAACGAGTGAGAGATCTAATTATATATAATTAATTTTATTTAAATGTATAATATATTATTTGTTAATAAAAAAATTAAGAAAATATATATTATATATACTGAAAAAAAAAACCTAACCCACATTAAGATTGCACCGAATATTTAGTACTCGTACGGCCTAGCAACTAGCAGGTCGCTCATGGGACCCGCCTCCAGATGTGTGCTTGATGGATAGTGTGGGGGCAGCGGTGCTGTGACTACGAAGTTTGCGCGCCAGCTGCCTACCTTCGATGTGTAGTCGCTTCTTAGGCTAGAGGTGCTCTAATTATGAAGCTACTTTTCGTACCTAATTCTATTTTTCGGCGCTTTAAATATGCAGTGGAATTTATTATTATTTTATTGTTATTTTTTGTTTTAATAATTACGAATGTTCAAATCAATTTGACTAATTTATTTTAGTCTCATTAAAGATAAAAAATAAAAAAAATATATTCATAAAAAATTAATTTCTCATCATTTAACTCTAAAAAATTGTCAAGAGGGAAGTATCATAATATTTTTTCTTAGATAACTGTATAATATTAAAGAAAATATTATTCGACAAATATATATTATTGTCTACATATTTATTTTAAGCACCCAAAAAAAATATTAGAAGAAAGTGGCCTAGTTACATTTTTTAAAATAGGACTGTTTGTGAATATATATTTTTATTTAATAAATAAAAATATATTACATATATCATTTTTCAATTAACTTAGAAGAACTGATAATTGATATTGGGAGATAACTACACCCAAACTCTTGAAGTTTATCGTTTAATCATTTACATTTCTTGGTATTTAAAATATTATATATAAACTTTTAAAATCTGTACAAACGTAATACTTAGATCTTTATCGTTAATGTCCATTAGTATATCTATTAATAAAATTACATCAAAATTCTTTAATGTTTGTATGCGTATAATATTTAAATCCTTTAAGTTTAAAATATTATATTTAGACAAAAAAATTCTTGAATCAAAGATATAATATTAAATATTTTAAATTTTACAATCAAAATTTATGTTCTATTGTATCATTTATTGAAATAAAATTAAATATAAAAAATTCAATTAGTATACAACTAAGGGATCTAAGTCATTCATAATAGAACAATCAAAATTCATGTTGCATTATATCATTAAGTGAAATTGGGTTAAACTGTAATTGACACAATATCTTTTAATTTTAATTTGGATTATTTAGTAGTTTAATTTGATTGTTTAAACAGTCAAATTAAATTTTAATGCATAGTATAATTGTATATTAATTATAATTTTTTACCAAAAAATTAGATTTTTATTATTAATTTTATTTCAATAAATGTGATAATATAACATGAATTTTGGTTATAAATTTTTAAATATTTAATATTCTATCTTTAATTGGAGTATTTGTTGATTAAATATAATATTTTAAATTTGAAGGAACTATGTATTATACATTTACAAATTTCAAGAAGTTTAGATATAATTTATTAATAGATATATTAAACGATATGAGTTTAAGTGTTATGTGATACAAATTTTAGAGGATTTTTATATAATATTTTAAATGCCAAGAATTTGAGTGATTAAAGGAGTCTGTAATTCTCCCTTGAACGTGTAAGCTGTTTTTATTCATCTGGAAAACGATAATGTATTAGCCTAAGTGTAAGCTTCCTACGTGATTGTATAGCTATATTTAGCGTCACCACAAAGACTCCCTCGTGAAAACTTTGCGTTCATAGCTTTTCCCTCACATTTCTCTCTCTTTTGAATCTGAGGGATGTAAGATTTCTACACCCCTCTCTGTAAATTCTTAGATTCATATAACCTTATTTATAGGAAATTATGTCTATAAATGTCACTTTATTATGTTTGTGATTCTTTGTTGAAGCACCCATCAATCCCTCATTCGCATTGATTTAACTACAATTTGGGAATGTCTGTTATACCATTTCGCTGCATTGCTGTTCTTGGTTTTCTGTTAGACCTTGTTTTTAATTAATTCTGTTATTATTCTGGATTATTCTTGTTAACCCACAATTTTCCTTCTTCATTTATGTTCTTATAATCTATTCAAGCCTTTGTTGTCCTCTTGTTGATTTTGTTACAGTTCGTGAAGTCTGAAATTTCATCTTGTATTGTTTGTTAAACTGGTTGCAGTCTGCAATTATCTGTGAAACCGAACTTCTTTTCTAGCTATGTTTGTTGCATTTGATGGAAGTTGTTAAACCCTGTTTGCATTCTGATTGATTCAGCTACATTTCAGATCATCTGTTAAAAATTTACTATGTAGAATCTTAATAACGAATCAAAATGGGATATTAAACACTTCTCCTTAGTGTTCTAAGAACTTTAGTTTTGGTTGAAAGTTTTTCAGATTTGAGTAATCTATGCATTGCTGATTTCAGATAGAATTATTTGCATTACTATGCAAGTAGTCCAGGAAATGATGTCTAACATGAAGTCTAGGGAAGATGATCTACTAAGTGCTGTGTTGCCATTGCTGAAACTTCTCTCCCTCACACTTATAGGACTACTTCTTGCTCACCAAAAACACAAATCATTCCGAAGGCGACTTTCAAGCTACTCAGCAAGCTTGTATTTGCCCTTTTCTTACCCTGCCTTATCTTCATTCACTTGGGTCAATCCATTACACTCAAGAACGTCACTCTCTGGTGGTTTATCCCCGTTAATGTATTAGTCAGTACATTGATTGGTTGCATCTTGGGGATCTTAGTTGTGATCATATGTAGACCACCTCCAGAGTTCACCAGATTTACCATTATCATGACTGCATTCGGCAATACTGGAAATCTCCCTCTTGCAATTGTTGGTTCTGTTTGTCATAGTAAGGATAATTTCTTTGGACCTGATTGCCATCGGAAAGGGGTGGCTTATGTATCTTTTGCCCAGTGGGTTGCTGTAATTCTTGTTTATACCCTTGTGTACCACATGATGGAGCCTCCATTGGAATATTACGAGGTTGTTGAAGAAGAAGGAATAGAGATCAAGGAAAAACAGCAGGGTGATAATGTTAGTAAGCCTCTTCTTGTAGAAGCTGAATGGCCAGGTATTGAAGATAAAGAAAATGAACATTCCAAGACACCATTTATTGCTAAGATCTTTAAAAGCATCTCAAATGCTTCACAAACCACTATTCCCGACATTGATCACTCTGCGGATGGAAACAGTCCCGAGTCCATTAGGTGTTTGGCCGAACCTAGGGTGTTCAGGAAGATCAGAATTATTGCTGAACAGACTCCATTGCAGCACATACTTCAACCCCCAATAATTGCTTCTCTGTTAGCCATCATTGTTGGGATGGTGCCGCAGATAAAAGCTTTTGTCTTTGGTTATGATGCTCCATTGTCTTTCGTCACTGACAGTTTAGAGATTTTAGGGGGTGCCATGGTTCCCTCCGTCATGCTTATTCTTGGAGGCATGCTAGCTGAGGGCCCGAATGAGTCTAACCTTGGGTTTCGGACTACAATTGGTGTTATTGTGGCAAGACAGTTGATGCTGCCTTTATTGGGGATTGGAATTGTGGCCTTGGCTGATAAATTGCAATTTCTAGTTCATGGCGATCAGATGTACAGATTTGTGCTTTTGTTGCAGTACACGACGCCAAGTGCTATCTTATTGGGAGCAATTGCCAGCTTGAGAGGTTATGCGGCTAGCGAGTCCTCAGCACTTCTCTTCTGGCAGCATTTGGTTGCACTGTTATCTCTTTCCTTGTATGTTTTCATCTACTTTAAATTGCTCTGATAGGTTTGGCGTTTGTCTGAAATCTCTGTGGTGGTTAGCATGATGTCAATATTATCATTCCTATCAAAAGAACTATCTTAAAGTCCCCAGGGTCATGTAGTAGCATATAAGTTCACTGAGATCAATGCTACCTCTTTGTTCAGTATAGCATATTGCTTGAATACGATGGGCTGATATACTGCTTGAAGTGCTTTGCGGAGTTGTGCCAAGGGTTGAAATTTTTTCTTCTTTTGTCCTTGCTTTCAGAAAATTAAATATCTGGACTTTCTACAAGATGTGCCCCATCGCATTTTGTAAGATTGTTCAGGTACTTGGGTGTGCCATGGACATGAACTAGGCCGGTCATTGTAAAGGTTTTGCCTGTTGTTTAATCTTTCAATTGTGCTTATGATAGAGTTTTGGCTTGGATGCATTACATCCAATTAGAAAAACCCTTATACTTGTGTTGTAATTAATTGGAGGTCAAATTTTTCGTTTCGTTGCAGTAAAACCAGTTCCTATTAGTCATTTTCCTCTTGTTTGAAAATGCAAATCCTACCATTACATTTCCTTTGTGCTTGTACATTACTATGAGAAGTACTGCACTAATGTTCGTTAACCGTAGCAAATAAAGTTTGGCTGATCTAGTTTGATAGTTGTTTTATTGACTAGGCATATCAGCAAGAGGTATGACCATCTATATTGTTCGTATTATGATAAATTGTATACATTGTTGTAGGAGTTAACTCTAAGCTATACTAGGGTGCAGTTCCCTTATTTAAAAGGTTATGGGCAATTAGGGCTATAAATATGTAGGATGTAAGTTTTCCAATGCCTGGAGTAGAGTCAAGGATACAGTGGATTTGATTGCTAGCAAAAATATTTTGAAATACACGTGGTATCTTTGAATGCATTGCCATGAGAAACAAAAAATCGAAAAGCCTATTGTTTAAAGAATTAAACTTGCATTGATGAAGTGAAAAAAGTGTTTCTAGAGTGTTACATGGTCCTGTAATAGCTTAATTTACAGAAATTCTAGTAAGATGTATAGGTCCTGTTAAAGTACAAAATGAGCAGTAGAGGGGATTCTTTGAAAATTAGTGTAACCGTTAAAGATAAATGAATGGCTGCACATATAAAGATAGATATAGAAATACAGAAGTTCATGATCATGTGGGGTTCACTGTAATTGGAGGACAAGGTGAAGGGAAGATGTATTAGATGGTCCAAAGAAGTTCACTAAGTTATGTGACTAACAGAACAAAGAGAGAACATGTAGATAAAGGAATAAATGAATGTGGTAAGAAATAGCATACATGGTAACTATGATATAAAGAAGACATGGTCACAGGTACGGGCATAGTGATTAGAGGCAATAAGCAATAACAGAATCGTGTTATTGAACCCAGGGTTTAGTGATCTGAGGCTCGGTTGAGGTGGTGGATTCTCCCTTGAGAGCCTTGGTAAGTTGAATAAGAAGCATAGATCCTCTCAGTTTGGAAACTGTGTACCCCTTGGGTCCTAATACATCGTCATAGTTGTGTAAATAAACATTATATTTTAAGTTTTTAACCACTATCGTGCTGCTTTCATCACCACAAGGGGTAACAGATCGTCTTTCTCAGTTACATTGACATAGTGCTCAACAATTTTATGATATTTGTACCTTGGCTTTGAATTCTTGTGAAGGGAACTCTGTTTATCTACAGTAATGTATAGCAAGCTAGCAGCATGTAAGGAGCTAGTGTTGTTCTTTTGTTGATTTCAGCTTAGCCACTCATCAGTGTGTTACACTCATTTAATGGTACACACCCTGCTGGTAAGGAGAAAAAAACCGATAAGAAAAATTGGTCAGTGTAGCACTGTTGCCTAAATTGAAGCGAGTTGAACACCTCTAACACGATATTAGGTTAGATTAAGGTGAGAAATTGCTTCTATCCCTGGCGTCTGGCTCGGGTTGGCATGAACCCTATCCAACCTCGTGCTCCCTCTGTTCAAATATTTTGCAGAGTAATCAACTGTCAACCCTGAGGATTGACTGATTTGTGGTCAAGCCTACTCATAAAAAAATTTTGGAAACCCAAGTCTTAGAAACGCTTTGACACGCACCTTTACCTTGAGGACCAAGAAGACAAAGAAACCTTGGATTTCCCTTTTATTCACAAAGTTGATTCTTGGTCGTAAGGTGGTTTTCACCCTTATTCTTTTGGGCAACGGGGGAAATCTCTCGTCTGTTCTTGACAAGAGTAAATTTTAAGTATATGAACCGGTCTCTCAATCTATACACTAGTTAAATTGGAGGCTTGAACTATTGACTTCAAAAAGGCAAAATCTTCACACAACAAGACAAAAGGTATCAATGAGCCTAGAATTGTGTTGTTCATGAACTTGAATGTGCCGTCAAACCCTATAACCACCTTATTTATCTGTTGGATCCAAGTATATGACCGATTTTTTTTAGAGTACCACACCCTTTTTTCCTCCAATAAAAACACGATAAATGCTAAGTTAACTTATTTTATTATCCTGTTTTACTGTATTATTTTGACGATCAACAGTCACGACTTTAGATTGCAAAATCTATATGGATTTTAATCAATTTTGAAATATGAAATCTTATGTAAATAAATATAAGTGTATAATATTATTCGTATCGATAGAAAAAAAATTAGAAATTATAATTAAAGTGTCCGGTCAATAACATATTCTTGTCTCCGTCCCTGTTTATATCCTATTCCACTGTTTGATCTTCTAAATTTAATTTGGTTTCGAGTCCAAGGCGTGAATTTTCCTTTTGATTCAGGTTTTTATCTCTGAATTCTAGTCAATTAACCTTCAAAACTCATGTCAGTCGTCTTGTTCCAAAACAGGTGCGGACAAGATGATCCCTGGATAAGATCAAAAGTTTGAACCAAACATTGACTTTCTCGAGAATATAGGAATATGCAAAAATAAAATCCTCAACCCTCCTCTCCTAGCCCATTAGATAAAAGAGAAGCACTGCTTTTTGATCCTTCTACCTGCACCTCAGACGTTGCTATCATACCTTTTCTTTTTTATGTGCATCACGATTAATTTTTTCTTTGATTCGGTTAAAAGTAAATCACTCACGTTGAGACCAAAACATTTATTAGAGAAAAACTCCTCGTAGCCGAATCTCAAGAAATTGTTAAAATTTGAATTCAAAATATTTGAATTTATAACTCGTCGCTATTATCATTTACTTACCATCGGGATTGACGAAGCTATTATATCAAGAAAACATTTAGAATCACTTTCTGAATTAAGAATAAAATGAAAGATTACAAGTCAAGTACAATACCATGGTGGAGGAGTATATGAAATTTGAGGGCATAATATCTGCAACAATGTAGGTAAGATAACTAGAACAAGTCGGTTATATAGTTCAAGTACTCTAAAGCGATATGCATTCGATTTTTGCGTTACACTCATGATCCTAATAAATAAATAGTCGAGACCATTTTCATTCAAAAAACACTATTATTAATCCCCGTATATTATCTTATATTCAATGAACGGCCCTTGCAGAATTTAGAAACATATACAAGAGAAAGAATTGTTGGGATATCTTTGAAGATAATGTAATCTATAAGGGGGTGGACGAAATTATATTCCCAGATGAGTATTGGTATGGATGGTAACCGTTGGTTTGGAATACGAGGAGAATGGCAATGAAAGCAAGGCCCATGCCTTGTTTGCCACTTTGCTAATATAATAATAATATGGAGTCAATTGATTCCGTTCGAATATGGTCCATTCAATAAGACAAAACATAAAATAGTGAAACATTGGCATCCATGGTGCACGAGCTTTCAGCTCTCCCCCAACTTAAGGTGGAGTTTAGTGGTTGGAACAATGGTGATTATTTCCGTCCTTAGATTTTATAGTCGCAGGTTCGAACTATGTTATCTCTCTCTTGAATCAAAAAAAAAGAAGTTAAAGTGGCGTCAAATTTGGGTCTATCTCTATCTCTAAATGTCAATAGGAATAATAATGGTGATTTTTGGAGAGTTGTTCATAGTCATGTTCGGTAACGTTTATGTTTTTCGTTTTTATTTTAATATTTAGAGAAAACAAAAAAAAAAAAAACTCGTTTGATAACCGTTTTTTTTTTTTTTTCTTTCATTGTTTTGTAAACGATGGACGATTTTTAAAAACGGGAAAAAAAATATTTTTCGTTTTTTGATTCTGTTTTTCGTTTTTTAAAAAATTAAAAATTGTAAACGATACCAAATGAGTCAAAATGATTTGACTTTTAAATATATCTTTTTTAATTTTTTGTTAACAAGAGAGGGCGGAACTTACAAATAACTGCTAAACTGCTGACTCTTCTTCATTATTTGTAATTATTATTATTTGAAAAGGATAATAAAATTACCAAAATCTATGATTATTATTGTTGGTGATTAAATGACTAGATTTTATATATTATTGTTGGTGATTAAACACAATAAATTCATCCATATTTATATGATAAAAAAATATAAAAATATAATCAGATAAAATGTATCTACTGATCGTCTTATCTAAACACACTCATCGTGACATGTCTCTTCGAATCCTATTCACTCTCTATTAGCAATAATAATTGGGGCATAATAAAATCCATTGATTTCAATTTATACCTAATGGAATAAACTAATCTAGCACTCTATATTAATTTGGAAAAAAAAAATTGATAACAGTGGCAGTACTCTTTGGCACATTCTTATTCCATTTCTGATAAAACAAAAATGCAATTTTTTTTGGAAGGTATAGAATTAAAATATATAATTTTGGGTTAATTATAAAATACCCCTTCAACTTTGGGTACTTTTCTATTCACCCTTTTATGTTTTAATTTTAACAAGCAATCTCCTTTAAGCTTGAATATTTTACGAATAACTCCAGCAATTAATTGTAGGCCATAAAAAATGACGTAATTAGCATCAGACTATGTCATAGGTAGTGTAATAATACAATAAGATAAACCCTATCGCATATGAGAGGCGAAAGTTGAATGAGACCGAGAGGTGTGATCCAAGAGAAGGAGGAGATGACAACAACAATGCACTATGTGAGAACAACGTAGGAACAAGTCACGATTCGTGGTCTGGTCAAGATCGATAATGTGGCGACGAGTGATTTTTTGACCCAAAAAAAACTCGCACTAAAACAGGGACAATGGCAAGCAAGACAAACTTATGTATGTGTACGAGTGTGTGTTGGTCTTAGGTGGGGGTGAAGGCGAACTTGATGTTATGTACTGTGTTGTGTTGGTATTTTTTTTTTCTTGATTTTTATATTTTCTTATTTTTTTTAGGGATGAAATTAGTATCTCAAGAAAGAAAAAAATGACAAATGATGAAAAATATAATGGTACTTTCATGCACCAACTACTTGTCCGCGAGGACAAATTATAGTATTTAAAATTATAAAAAGAGGCATAATTTTTGGGACAAGATGAAATTAACCCCAATAATATGAACTCTTTCATTTCTTACCCGGACAAATAAAAAAGCACTGGTTTTATCTGGACTGGACATGTGACCTCCAGTCTTCCGGATATGGTGCTAATTTATTTCTTTGAGGTTTCCCTCTCTCACCATTCTTTTGCGCGTTTTCTCTGCCTATCATATTCTGTTTAAATGCGACCCAAACCCCTATCAAACCCTATAACCAACTTTCCCGAGAATCAAACAGGCCAAACCAATCTCCACGGGAAGAAACTCTGACCATCCTTTCTCTTTTGTCCACATTCTCTCCACGCCCCTCTTACCACACAATTTCCTCGTCGGATTATGTTTTGTCAGTTATACCCAAATCTCTCTCTTTTCCCAAAAGCTTTTAGGTTCTGATATTTCAAAAGAAAAGAAAATTCTTTTCCATTTAACTTTTACCATCTTTTTCTATATATAACCTTCATGGTTTTTGGGTTCTCCTCACATTGCCAAACCCTATTCTTCTTCTTCTTTACTTCCTTGGTCTAAAATGTTCTAGCCTAGGGAAAGCTTATCTAAACATTAACATACCCTTTTCTTGATTTTTTTTTCCAACCAAGCTTTAACAATCCCAAGTTTTTGTTTTGATTCAATAATAGATATACACACATATATATTGATTATTTGTGTTGTCAACTATGGCTATTGCACACCCTCCTTTTATTGGGTCTGAACAGGCCACAGTTGAGGCTGCTCTGATGGTCTCAACACCATCACCATCTCGGCCTCCGGTGATTCTAACCCAAGACGAATTGAAGAAAGTTGCAGCCTATAAGGCCGTTGAGTTCGTTGAGTCCGGCATGATATTGGGTTTAGGAACTGGGTCGACTGCGAAACACGCTGTGGAACGAATTGGGGAGCTCTTAAAGCAAGGGATTCTGAAGAATATTATAGGAATACCCACTTCGAAGATGACCCATGAACAGGCTTTGTCATTAGGAATTCCATTATCGGATCTTGATACACACCCAGTTGTTGATTTGGCCATTGATGGTGCTGATGAGGTAGACCCGTATATGAATTTGGTGAAAGGACGAGGTGGGTCACTCCTGAGAGAGAAAATGATTGAGGGTGCTTGCAAAAAATTCATAGTGATTGTGGATGAATCCAAGTTGGTGAAGCATTTAGGGGGAAGTGGGTTGGCTATGCCGGTTGAAATTGTACCTTTTTGTTGGAAATTCACGGCGCAGAAGCTGAAATTGTTGTTTAAGGATGCGGGCTGCGTTGCAATGCTTAGGACTTTTAGCGAGACTGGTGAGCCATTTGTGACTGACAATGGGAACTATATTATTGATTTGTATTTCAAGAAAGATATTGGGGATTTGAAGGCTGCGAGTGATGCCATTTTGAGGCTTACTGGTGTTGTTGAGCATGGGATGTTTCTTGGCATGGCGACCACACTGATTGTGGCCGGTGAGCTTGGTGTCACCATGAAGAATAAGTAGAGAATTGCTAAGGCAATTTGCTTAGATTTTGTTAAATTTATTGAGAATGAATCAGAATTTTTCTTTTATCCTAACCGGCTTATTGATTGAAATTCTTTATTTGGGATTGTCATATTTTCTTCTCATGTGCTTTTAGTTTGTTCGTACCTTTTATTTACTAATATGGTTTTATGTACTTCCTGGATTGTTTGCTGTGGATATTTGTTCACCAGTTGCAAGCTTTATTTTCCATTCATGCTCATCTGAGTACCATTTCTCTGAGAAACACCAGTTCACTGATTCCATCTGGAGTGCCTCTGGAGATCTAGTTTCAATATTGTTTTTCATGCTTAAATAGTTAAATGTATGACAGCTATACTATCAATTAAATGCACCCCGTCCATGTTTTTTAGGGTTGTCATCGGCGACCATGTTGCATCCGCTTTCATAGAAGACTCTACTATTGGTCTATTTATGCCACGCCACATAATTGATTGATACTGATAGCATTCTTTGCTATCACGTTGTCTGAAGTGCTTTTAGAAATTATATGCGGGTTGCTAAAACTCTTGCCGCAGAGAAGAAGTGCTGGTGTGTTGTTTATTGGGAGAGATGGGGTGAATGGTTCGATCCATATCATCAATTTACCCAGAAAAGGTTGTAGAATTCCTCTCTGGTGGACATCATATTTGATTGCTGGTAACCTTTCTGTAGTTTCCAATAAATAACTATCAAAAAAACGTATAACAGAGATGGTAGATCCAAAGCAAGTCTCTTAAGTCATGGGTGATTTTGGTCTATTGACATGTGTCTGTGGTGTATTTCAGAAAATACAGCTGTAAGATTATCCTACGTGTTGGTTTATTTATTTATATCTTTGAAACTGCAAGGAGCCGATTACATTTCAATTTACTAAAGTCCATGCGACATTCCATTATAGATATTGCAAACATGCTCTAGTTTTATGTCATTCTAGCTAACCTAAAGCAATAAGGATGTCATTTTACTTGTATCTCACCTTTTGGATATCATGCTGCGGAACAATCTTCTGAAGTTTGTTGGTGAGTGTTGGTTGCCAATGAAACACCAGAGTGGAAGGGGGTGGCAAGCCTACCCAAGTTCATGTTAGTTTTGCCTGTTTCTCCCATGGCTGTAGTTAAGTGGAACTCCAATAGGAGTTACTGGGTCAAAGAGGAGCCCTGGTAGCTTTTCAAGGATATTATGGGGGTGTCATCATCACTGGTTGTGCATGTCATTTGGCCTGCTTCAAACTTGGAGCCAAGCTCTAGATCGCTAGAGAGTTGCAGCAGCTTCTTCCCAGGAGATGCGGTAGTGTTTGGTGAGCAAAATGTGTATCGTATCGTCTATAGCATCAATCAAGCTCACATCAAGGCTGGGATATTGCAGAGCAGACAGGATGTGCCACTCAGTAAGCTTATCGCAATCTATTTACTGAAATAATTCAGCTATCTATTATGTTCTAGTTTGGGAAGTTGAATGATCAAATTTACTGGGGAATGAATGAAATAGAACTATAGAAGTAAGGAATGTAGAGCAGGGGAAACTGATTTCCTTATCCAGCTAGGAGTGCAAGACAGGTATACTGTTTTGCACAGAGAATGAATGAAACAGAATCGTATTAATAATCGTCTGATAATCTAACTGGCTAGCTACAGGCTGATTAGCGATGCATGGAGCATCGCCCGTATGTGTTTATATTTGCCCTTGCACAATTCTCTGAATCTATATAAGTTCTTATCCTGTTGGGTTTAATAATTCGAGAAGCAATAGGCAGTTTGAGTTTTTACATACAAGACAATTAAACTTGAGCTAATTTTGTTGTAACTAAACTCTCAATTTTTGTGGTCGCGATATTATGTACTTCTCTTTATAATTTCTATATGTTTAATATGCAAGTGATTTTGGTTTCTTTGGCTGCATGCGATACTTTTATTTTATTAACCGGCTTTCTGGCAACAAACGAGTATTTCAAGTGTCTTGCGTGAATTTAGAACACCTGATTTTAGCAATATAATGCTCAGTTATGTTATGGTTTGCAAGGTTTTGTATCATCCAGTTGTACTCAAAGGCCTTCTTTGAGTGGCTGAAGCATGTTTGAACTTGATTTTCTCTTTTAATAAGAACATGCATAACCAAAAATTTATCGCCGACCCAAAAAAAGTTGGGACAAAGCTTTGTTGAGTTGAGTATTATGTACTGATAACAGCTTGTATGCTCTGCCAGAGTCCATGCTTAAGAAATTCTCCTGTTGATTGTGATTTGCCCCAACCATATTGGTCTTGATATGTATTATGATTAGTATGCCATGCGAGTCCCTGTATATCACATGCTGCTACTTCTTTGTTCCTTAGATAATGAAGATTGCAATCAATTAGGCCTTGGACCATGAGAATATATGAACAAAAAAAAAAGGACATTTTAGCTTTTGACATTCTTGTTATTGTCTCTTGACATCTTGGAACCAGTGTTGTGCCAACACCATGTCCTGTGTAAGCACTTCTGTATGTAGGCCAGCTTCTGTATATATTTCTCAGTAGGTTTTGGGAATGATATCCCAATGGAGAATGCTACATAATTCTAATAAAATCCAAAAGTTAAAACTCAAATGTATATCATTCTTTAGATGAGTAGGTCCTACTGAAAAATTAATGGGATTCACTCGTCTAAAGAATAATATGTATTTGAGTTATAATTTTTTTAGTTTTATTTGAGTTTTGTAACATTGTTTTATTATAAGTTTGCATTTGCAAGGCAAGGAACAAATACAGGCAGCTTGATGAAGCTAGAGTGGGACCAGTTGGATTATGTTGACCACAACTTTAGCCTGCTTTATGCATTGATGGGGATGGCAATTCTCAGCAAATGTTGGGAATTATTTTGATGTACAGAATATGTAATTTTTCATCTGTCAGACATTACTCTAAGTCCCACCCCTAACTCCACCCCACTATTATAGGACAATTGCCTAGTACTATGCTAAAATATTTTTTTCAAAAATTAATCGGAATATTGGGATAATTGTGTACACACACGCACAGAGAGAGAGAGAGAGCGAGAGAGAGAGATTTGTATACTCTTTCAATAAATCAAATCCGAGCTCAATTCGAATATGTATGGTCCTAGAGCAGACATTTGTATATCTTCAGGTTGAGTTGATGAGTATAGTACTTGGACTTTTGGGATGCATTACACTAATTCTGATCTGCTTATACTGGACTTATCTTTTCATTCGCACGTTGTGGTCCAAGTCAGTCTATGAGCCCATTAGGCATGGTTGTGGACCTTTTTTCCTGGCCCGCCCAGTAAAACGGCCCACCTGATTTACGTCAGTCTAACCCAGTGGCCACTGAAATGTTGAGGCTATGAATGTCAAAATATAATACAGCACGAAGAAATTAGAGGGTTAAAGTTTTGTTTACCCGAATTCAACTAAGCTTCAGAGTCAACCTGAATTCACCTTCAAACCCTAATACTCCCCCACTCCAACTCAACCTTCATCCCCAATGTTTCAACTAACTGGATGCATAGTGTGTATGTAGATTTTTTTATGTAAACCCATATTGTATTGGGTTGAGCCGAGTGTGTTCATATCCAAAGGTTTTTAAAATATGATACAAAATGGGCACAATGCAAAATAAGAAGTTTTGGATTTTCTTTAAAACCACCTATTTTATAAACGAGTTGATTCGACACGATTAATAACAAATTAAGTATGAGTGAAATTAATCAAAAAAAAAAAAAATACGACACGACTCGTTTATATATTGATTATACACGAATCATACACCACACAAACTTGATATGACACGATTCATTAGACACGAATTAATAAACGAATCAGATATGAATTGAATATTTTTTACCCAAACCTGCTAAGACTCAATACGAACCTGCCTCACCCGATATGATTGACAGACATATTGAAGCCGGTAACATAGTAGTCCAACTTAAATATTGCAAGAATTAAATTCGAGTTAAAATTTCCCTGTCCAAATCCTACCTACCTTACATGGATCAATCAAAATAACCCCATAACAAATCACTTTTATTATATATATATATATCATCTTGTTTATTTAGTGTAACGTGTG